TACTTCACTCGTGCTCCATTTTTAACGTTCTTGAGCCGAGGGTCTTTCGGAAACAGCCTTTCTACCTTCGTAGGTAGAGGTAAGATTTACGTACACACTAACCTCCCCAAACCTCACTTATGGAATTCCATTGGATTGTTGGTGCATACTTCACTAATAGGATTTCACCGGATATGTTATTGTTATTGTAAATGAGTTCTTGAACTAAAAGCTAATGATTATGTTTTTTGAATTTTTTTAGGAGACTAAACAACAATAGTCTTAGTGGAGCTGTTCCTTTGGAGTTGTCTAATATGACTCAGCTGACTCTACTGTAATTTTCTTTAGCCTCTTTTATCTTAGCTTATTTTTTCATATTTGTTTGCTGTTTTATTGAGTATATGTTGATGGGGTTGTTATTGGTTTGTGTAGAGACCTGTCTTTTAACAATCTGAGTGGTCCTGTGCCAAGACTTCTGGCTAAAACATTCAAGTAAGTTTCTTGAACAATTCTTTAAATTCATGTTTAACTTTTCCTTTTGCTTAAAGAAGGGAGCCTTGGTGTAATTGGTAAAGTTGCTTCCATGTGACCAGGAGGTACGGGTTCGAGCCGTGGAAACAGTCTCTTGCAGAAATGCAGGGTAAGGTTGCGTACAATAGACCTTCTGGTCCGACCGTTCCCCGTACCCCCACACATAGCGGGAGTTTAGTGCACCGGGCTGCCCTTTTCTTTCTTTTTTTTGAGATCAGAGAAAGGAATCAATATATCTTACTTATTTGTTGTTTTTTTTGTTGTCATTGCAGCATTATGGGAAATCCTATTATATGTGAAACTGGGAAAGAGCCAGAATGCAATGGAACAACATCCATGCCTTTGCCCTTAATCACTTTGAACAACTCACAAAGTAAGAATCTTAAACCATTTTCTTTCTATTTCTGGTTTTCAATATTGTTACTATTGTATTTTACTAGGCATTGGATTCATGAAATGAATTTGTTTTAGTGGTAATTTTCAGATGATGAAAGCATGTAAAGTTGTATAGTCCTATTCCTAACTGAAAAATCTCTTGTTGTATCTCAGATGCTCAGCCTATTGGAAGAACTAAAACTCATAAAGTTGCCTTAGCATTTGGGACAAGTCTTGGATGTATCTGCCTACTAATTATTGGGTTTGGTTTCTTTCTATGGTGGAGACAAAAGCACAACAAGCAAATTTTCTTTGATACTAATGGTAAGTATGATATAGATAAAATTTGTTGCTTGAATCCTCAAAAAATATCGCCATACCTGTGTCAGATCCTCCAAAAATACAAGCTGTCACAACATCCATCAATGACGTTGAGTAGTAACTGGTGAACCAACAACACTCTAATTAATAAAAAATAAAAAATTAATTCATAGTTATGCAATAATAAAAAGGGCGGCCCAGAGTTTGGGAAAGGACCAGGCCACAAGGGTCTGTTGTACGCAACCTTACCCTATCTTTTTTCAAGAGGTTGTTTCTGCAATAATCATTTCAACAAAAAATGTTGCCAATTTGTACCCCTAAATCTTAAAATTTATGTGATGAAGAATTCGACCTCTAAACATGTCGGACGCTTGCACCTGTATTAGATCAACATGGGCTAAAAACAAGTACAAGGTACTAACAATGTGTTTCTTTAACCAAGAGGATCAATTTTGTTGACATAATTGTTGATAATTTCAGAACAACATCATGAACAAGTATGCTTGGGAAATTTAAGAAGGTTCCCATTTAGGGAACTTCAAGCTGCTACACACAACTTCAGCAACAAGAACATACTGGGAAAAGGCGGTTTCGGGAATGTATACAAAGGTTGTCTTCATGATGGAACAATTGTTGCAGTGAAAAGGCTCAAAGATGGAAATGCAATTGGAGGAGACAGGCAATTCCAAACTGAAGTCGAGTTGATCAGCTTGGCAGTGCATCGAAATCTCCTCCGTTTATATGGATTTTGCATGACACCAACTGAAAGGCTTCTTGTTTACCCTTACATGTCTAATGGAAGCGTTGCTTCGCGCCTTAAAGGTAAAAATGCCCTCGAAAATCTAAAGGTTGTGAAGTTGAGTCATATACACTGATAGTGCAAAAGTTTTCTATGCTATACCTATAAGTGTAGTTTAACCTGAGTATCAAGTTACTAGCATTTTTACAAATCGACCAATTAATGTTTATCATAAGAAATTCTGTTACAAATGGCGTAATTGGTAAAGTTGCTTCCATGTAACCAGGAGGTCACGGGTTCGAGCCGTGGAAACAACCTCTTGCAGGAATGCAGGGTAAGGCTGCGTACAATAGACCCTTGTGGTCCGGGCCTTCCCCAGACCCCGTGCATAGCGGGAGCTTAGCATCGGACTGCCCTTTTTAAATGACCTGATTGTGAAAAATTTACAACCTAAGGGTATAAAACTTAAATTCATGGTAATTGATGAAGCCACTGATTTCTTTGGTCTTGTCCTTAAAGAATGTTGTTTTAAATGTTGTTTCTTGCAGCCAAACCACCATTGGACTGGAGTACAAGAAAAAGAATTGCATTGGGAGCGGCGAGGGGTTTGCTATATCTACATGAGCAGTGTGATCCCAAGATTATTCACAGGGATGTGAAGGCTGCAAACATATTGCTCGACGATTACTGTGAGGCTGTTGTGGGAGATTTTGGATTGGCTAAGCTATTGGATCATCGCGATTCTCATGTCACAACTGCAGTTAGGGGAACTGTAGGACATATAGCTCCCGAGTATCTCTCTACAGGACAGTCCTCTGATAAAACAGATGTTTTTGGGTTTGGGATTCTCCTTCTAGAGTTGATATCTGGCCAAAGAGCTCTTGAATTTGGTAAAGCGGCCAATCAGAAAGGCGCTATGCTCGATTGGGTAAGTATAACACATTCCAAGATGTGATGAAACCTTCCGTTTAAATTTATGTCTCTTTCCTTTTGAGTCTGTTGCCAAAAGAATGCCTCTGACCTTTCTATATTTAGTAAGTTTTAAATTTCAACATTTCATTTTACCTTTAACGGAACTCCCATATAGGAATAACATGATATGTTTTAGACCACAAGATTCAAAGGTTATTTTTGATATGCTATACTCACCTTCCCTTTAAGATCACAAGATTCAAACAGTTTATTTAAATTCTTAAACTTTGTGCCCGATCAGGCTAAGATAAGACACATAAAATGGAAGGGAGGTTTGCAATTTTTCTTGTATAAAATCTATCAAATTCAACAGTGGCAACTCCCTTGCTCGTCTCAATATATGATTCATCGACTCAACAATATTTGTTGTTAGCATATCACGTCGTGGGCAATGTGAACGAGCCAGTATCTTGATTCTTGTTAGGTTGACAATTCAATGTGCATATGAATTTGCATAATATCAATTTGCATATTGTTGCAGGTAAAGAAGATTCATCAAGAGAAAAAGCTTGACTTGCTGGTGAACAAGGACTTAAAGGACAACTATGATCGGATCGAGGTCGAGGAACTGGTACAAGTAGCTTTAATATGCACTCAATATCACCCAAGTCAAAGACCAAAAATGTCAGAAGTGGTAAGAATGCTAGAAGGAGATGGACTTGCAGAGAAATGGGAAGCATCTCAAAAGGCAGAATCAACCAGATGTAGAGCCAATGAGTTCTCCTCTTCAGAAAGATATTCTGATCTTACTGATGATTCTTCATTGCTTGTTCAAGCAATGGAACTATCAGGGCCAAGGTGATGTAGATAGAAGGACAATCAATTAGCTGATATTGAGCTTGTGTATTTTTCTTTTTTGGTAACCGAGAAATCCTCCATGGCCAGTAGCGCATGGTTCAAAACTCGATGGATAATGGCCTGACCCTCACTCTCCACTTAAATATCAGGCTTTTGTCTGCGGTAGAGCTCGATTGAGCTTGTGAATATGATCATATTGGAAGCTGGCTGCAAAAAAAGAATGGGATATTTTGTGACTGTACAGGTATAGATTTAAGAGCAACTGACCTTAGGCTGAGTTTCTTTTCTATCTTTTTTTTTTGAGTGAGAATTTTTCTGAATGTGGAAGTGTAATCTTGAGCTTGTAAGAATAATATTGTTGAAATTCAATTTCAGCTTATAAATATTGCAGCATAATTTTCATCGAAAAGTGTCGCTCAAGGGTATAATCTTTCCCATTTCAAAGGTGAAGGGAGTATTGTTTTCCAATTAAGTGGTTTAAGTGGAATTTACTTTTCTTTCTGAAACAAGACTAATAAGGAAATATCGCCGTATAAAATGGAACAAATGGAGTATTATACAAGTAGTACAACAACAAAAAATCTAACCATTTTAATTTGAAACTAAGAAATCACAATGTAGATGAACCATTATTTATTAAATGATTGAGAAAAAACGAAGATGGGTGGGTAAAAGATTATGTGCCTATGATGTCAAACACACATATTTTTCTGTGGTCCGGTCCTCTTCGGACCTAGTGTAATGGAATGTCAAACAGACATACAAGTAAAAAGTAAATACAACAATCGATTGAAACACAAATACAAAATGAACTCGAATACCACAATAAATATATTAGAAGATAAGTTACATGTAATAGCACATTTTGGCATGAGATAGAGGCTCCATCAGAAATATGAGATTAAAATATTACAGTAAATGATAATGATTTTATAACATACTGAATAATTAGGAAAAGTTGCATATATGGCACCCGGAGATCACGCAGGGTTCGAGGAAGTGCCACATCCAAGGGGTGTAATGTATGCAGCCTATCCTCATGCCCCTGACCTATACAACTTAACACACAACATAACTATCAAATAAACAGCCAAAGTCTCATTTCATAGATATTTCAGGCACATTAACCATTTCTCACTTACCATTATGAATCAGATTAGTCAAAACATCCATCCACATTTGCTTATGTTCCCACACTGATAGTCCTCACAGTACCATATGGCAAAGGAAAAACACAGCCTTACTACTGCATCGACATTCGTATTACACATTGAACTTCCAAAGATTTAGCCAAAGATCATCGTCTAATTAAAAGACTCGAGAAGGTCAAGCAGGATTGTGATATGAATACTAATCTACACTATACACAATTTCTGCTTTAGATGACGCCCGCTGAAATTTTGTTATCTCCGCTTTGAGAGATTCTTCTAATTCATAGGGCTCGATTACCATTCTCGCCAGCATTGGAGACTTTGCTAATAAAACCTTGATAAGCTGCATTTCAGCGTCTGCTCCTGCTAAACTCTTGATCTTAACTGTCCTCAGGTGGTAAAAAGTCATATCCGAGAAGCTTGCAGGAATCTCATCAACAGCGTCCCGGGGCACAGGTTCATAATACTCCCCATCAACATCAACACACCCCTAAGAAAAATCAAGAAAAACTCATCAGCCTGAATTTAAAATTGAAGATCTAATGAGCATGCCAAATAAGGAAGTCATGACATAAGAAAAACACATATAAAAGAGAAAGAGAGAAAAATAAACATCATTAACAACCTCAATTTCAATTTCTTCTATATATGGGGAGCTTCTTATCAAGCAAAGAGCAAACGAAAACTCAAAAAATTCTCCCAGAGTAATCCAAGATAGGTAAAGGCGTTTAAGACTGTTAAGAGCAGAGGGAAGCCTTGTTGGTATAATTTCAGCTGGTCCAGCATCGTCGACCTAGGAAGAAAATGTCAGAAATCAGGATGACTCAAAGACCAAAAGACGGTACATCTATGAAAATGCATTACAATTAAGTCATGAAGCAACATTTACCTGGCAATTGTAGTTATTCCAGCTGAGATGCTCGAGAGCAGGAATAGACTCAAAAATCTTGGCAAGATTGTGTCCTGCCTCTACAGAAAATTCTGTAGGCTCATATGTAATTTTGGAAGAAGAGGGGCAATTTTCAGATGTATTAAATGCATATTGCCAATGAAGACAAATGACCTCAGCTTGAGGGCACTAATTTCCGTGGGGTTTGATGTCTCTACGTGCTTCAGCACCAAATTCTCAAGCAACGGGCACTTGGAGATTAAACTTCCAAGAAATTCAGAAGAAATTGTGACTCCACCTAGTTCTAGGCTAATTAACCTATCAAAACCCTTAAAGAGTGGTGAAGAACGTATTAAACATTGTCGGAGAACCAGATGCCTCAATTGCGAACAAGTGAAAAATGAAGAAGGCAATTTGTATAGATTACCCCTAAATGGAAGTTGAAGAACCAGATGCTGAATACCATTCCTAGAGAGGAAACATATCAAGTTGTCAATCTTAGGACAGTTGACACGATCAGAAATGGAGAGGATAAACTTACAAATTGGTCCTGTATGAAGGGCCAAAAGGTGATAAATAATGTTTGTAAATTTAATTTTAGGAGATATTAAGTCTTTTGTTGTTTGCCAAAGTGTTTCATCAACCGTCAACTGTGGGAGTCTGCACCAGTTATATCTCCATTTCTTTGATAAGATACTTGTCCTCACAGCATCTCGTAACGGCAACCTCATTAGAATGTCATCAATTACGCTATCGGGAAGGTTGCTAAGCACCTTGAGAGGAGGTAAATGTTGCCTTTTTCCATGAGGAGGCATCATATTAAATGATTGCAACAAGAATCTGCAGAAAATAAACAAGTATACAATAGGTAAGGAATCTCAAAAACTATCAGGATAGAGTACACACTGACAGACAGCACACAACTGCTATTCGCATTGTTAAATTAGCATATGCCACAACTGTAAAAATAAAAGAAACAGCGCATTATATTTGAATCACTCATCTTTCTTCTCTTATTATCCATGACTTGCATTTTTTACAGCAAGAATCTCATCAACACTTCATGCATTCAGAATACCTTATAAAGATTTCATGCATCCAGAATATTATTAAGATCGATTATTCAAAAGGGAAAACAAAACAAACATAAACAAGGATCACATTGTCTTTTGCAGTTAATAAGTAGTAAGATTATCAACTGAAATCAATAGCTATAAGACAAGGAGAAAAACATTGTCCAACTCGGCTAGATTTGACATCAAACTATAGTAGCTTTACTACCTTTTTGTGTTATTTTAAAAATGTTTGTACTAATATCTTCATTACTAATTTGTATGGTATAATTAATCTTAGTAGTTTATCACCACAATGTACAAAATCTTGAGGTGACTTGGTACGTGTAAAGACTCCAAAAACAATAAAAGCTGAATAATCCTGTCATAAATCAACAGCAAAACAACTTAAGTAAAAGAGGCGACAATGTTACCAAAGGCGCACTTAAAGCGCTCTTAAGCCCTGAAACGCGGCACGAAACATATTGAGCGGTTTGCCTCACATAGCGGGCACTTAAGTGTCGTCGTCAAGGCCCTAAGACATGCTTTTCCTTGCCAATGAGCGTAACAAGAGGTGACAACTAAACAATTGGTATTTCACTTTATCGTATTTTTATTCAATTCTTTTTGTCCATGCATTTGTTATTCATGATTATAATTATGACATACATGTTTAGGCGACAACTACACATACATGTTTGTATTTTTTCTCCTTTTATGCCTTTATTCATTGAAGTCCACGCTTTATTTGCGCTTTGCACTTAAAGCCCCAACAGACCTTAGAACTTCTTGACGTTTTTCTCCTTTGAAAACACTAAGAGGCAATTGATTTCTATGATCCCCTACTCGCCAGCTTGATTTGATTTACTAATCACCCTAACAAATGGCAGAATTCCAATAGTAAATCTAGTTTTTTTGCTGACAAAAGAGTCTTTACCTATACAGAAAAATAATTTTCTATTGTAACATTGTATATCAATAGGTATCACTTGATACTTCCTTCAACAGCTAAATGTTGTTTCAGTTATCACAACTTAAAAACTGTTACCAAACAGTAGCGTCCATTGGATTTCTCTAAGTGGTTTTCAACCTATTGTCACAATTCGGCTTGTATAATATACGTCTTTGGGTCTGGGGCTGTGTGTTTTTGTTCCAAATTGATGTAAACTTTTCATTATTCTTTAAATGGTGTCAACTTATTGTATGTATACATATTACAACACACTCAGTGAGTTCCCACAAGTGGGGTCTGTGGAGGGTAATGTGTACGCAAACCTTAACCCTACCCTGGGAGGGAAGAGGGGCTGTTTCCGATAGACCCTCGACTAGAGATTAGAAAAAAAAGCATAGGCCACAAGTAGTAACAAGAACAACAAGAAATTAAGAAAACCAAAGCGAAAGATATCAATCAAGGGACATATCCTCGGTAAGCTCTAGTGGCGCCATGTCCTGCCTAATCACCTCTCCCCAATACTTCTTTGTCCTACCTCTACCCCTCCTCATACCCCCTATGGTCAACCTCTCACACCTCCTAACTGGGGAATCGGTGCTTCTCCTCTTCACATGTCCTGTATACATATTATTTTCAAGAAACCTACTTGTCCTGTATACATATTACTTTCAAGAAACCTACTTGGTCCTTGCACTGCCTAGAACGGGTTCATCCGACACCACTTCATCGAAATTTTTTTACCAAGTATATGCAGTATTTTTCTATAAAAGAATGTGTATATATAGAGTAAACCAACACTGCTTAGAAAATAATGCAAAGTAAACATCTACCAATATGTTACATCCATGATAACGTTAACCCCCATCAAATTTTAAATACAACCCAATTCAATTTCAGCTGATTTAATTATACCAAAAACATAAAAATACAATCTTGATTTGAAAATTCTACAGGACCCCAGAACCATAAAAGCACATGAGTTCTGTGCTAACAATGAATAAAAGAGTAAGAATTTAAAATAAGACAAATAGAGAGAGGAAGATATGAACCTGATGAGGATGAATTGTGAAGTATTCACTTCTCAAATTGGCAAGTGTTCGGAATAAGCTAAAGAGAGAAGCAATTTATAATTCACACTAAATGGCGAAATCCAAAAGGCGACACCATACTGAAAAATTGGTAAATTGCAATAATGCCCTTATTATTGTATTCGATTTGTCTTACAAATACCCTCTATTAACCTATTGCCCAATAAAAATCCTTCTTCTAATTTGCCTATGCCTCTAAGGGGTATATTTGCTTAGGTATTATTAATTTCTTATTTAGTAGTAGTATTTTCAACCTATATATAACTAACTAATTAATTAGCCCGCCTTTTGCGCGGTCAAAAATATCCATAGTAAATTAGTTGATATAGAAAAAATAAAAGTATATATGTATATGTGTGTGTGCGCGCGCACCCTCGCGTTTAAAGGTAAAATATCAAATGAATAAGAAAAAATAAAATTGGGAAAAGTAAAAAACGTCCATTAAATAAAAAAAAAATAAGAGCATCGTGTACCCTTTTGAAATTTAATATTAACAGAATTCCTAGAGAACAATCATAATTTAGGAAGAAAAGTTAACTCTCATTTTATAGAGAGAGAAATATACTATCGTTTTAATTAACTGATGTTCATAATTAGTTATCGTAAATATTAATAACATAAATACTAATATTTCTTTTGCAGGAGAGACTTTTGATCTTACACAACTCCTCTCTCTTTCCATTATATTTAATTAATTTTGATTCTTTTTAAGTCCTTTATAATTTTTTTGACAGGAGGAATATGTAAGGACATCTGGGATCAAACATGAAAAAACTCATTTACATTAGTATATTCAGACTTGAATAAGGGGAGAAAATACATAAATTCTTGTAGTTGATACGTAAAATAAAGGTATCGATATTAATCCCTATATCTAGCTTAAACATTCGCTCTAAGAAATATTATTTTTTAAATAAAAAAACAAATTTATTAGCCTCAAACCTCTCCTGAGAGCAATGACGTAAAAGAAAAAACATAAAAGATCAAGATTCTAAAAGATTACAACCCCATAAGTACAAAATAGAAAAATTTAAGAAAAAGGTACGAAAATTACCTTCGTATTAACTGTGAAACTGATACAGTGTTTTCCAATTATATCACGAAGAACAGCCATCAACTACAATTAATCAACAACATACACATGCAACAAATCAATTTAAATTGCAAGCTCGTATCATTGAACAAATACATTAAAGGACTTGGGAGTGTTAGAATATACTATAAGCCATGCGTATTGTTATAGTATTCTTTATGAACAATTATTTATTTACTTGTTTAAATTCAATAAAGTTTTATTTTAAATAGATCATGTGTTGGTTTGTGCGTCCATTGCTTACATAGTAGATGATTTAGTGTATAGAGTTTAGCTTATACACGGAAGATTAAATCATCGGTTCTTGTAAGACATAAAAGTTAATGTTCACAATCTAATGATGGAATTGGACAAATCATCGGAATGATTGTAGCACAAGATTAAATATAATTTATCTTGATTATGGGAATGGTTTAATTCCAACTTCTTGTGCTAGTACATTTTGTATGTATTGAACGGATCAAGTAGAGATGAGTATTTTATACTGACTTTATAAAATAATTTCTCTAGCCCATTTACTGTACTTATACTCTTAATCCTGATATAATTATTATTAGCTGTGTATGTCACTTGTTGTTTTGATTTATTAAAAGGCGAGATTCTTTCGCGAGTCAATAAGCCTGGTAAATTGGATGACAATGATATACATTGGCGAAGTAATAATTAGTTGATGGAATCCATGTCTCAATTTTGAGATTGATGATACTCCTTTATGAAAGCTTATAAGTTTTCATGTGTAAACCCGGCCGATGGATTTTGTATCCGACACATGAAATAAGTTAAGTGTAAGTCTAAAGGAAGTAATCAATAAATTAAATAGTCAGTAATTTAATTTGATTGATTAGTATCTGAATCTTAACATGGGGAGTTAAATAAGGTTTTATGGAAGAATTTCGAAATTGAACTAAGGAGTGCAATTACGAATTTTTAGTGGAATAATTCGTAATTTATTATGATGGAAATTAGTTTCAGAATTTCGAAATTAATATCATAATAGGAAGCCTTGTTAATTAAATTCTGTGGTCCCTACTGTGCCTAAATAATAGAAAATAGTGGAAACTGTTACTTAGTGGGAAAGAAAACGTGGAAACCGTCCCTTAGCGGGAGAAGGAAACCTAACAGGTTTTGAAAACGGTTTTGACCTAAAAAACGCAGCTATATATATGGATATAAGGGCTGGACGTTTTTATCATGATTCTGACTGCGGTTTCTACTAGAATTTTGCCCACCCAAGATTCTCTTTTTTTTCGGTTATTGTTTGGGTAACACAGTAGAAGACTGTGGAAAGCTGCTAGTGTGTTTTCAACTGAGGAACTGGAGAACGACCTAGATTTGTTGTGTTTACGCTTCAAGAGGTAATCCTAAAATCTCCATACGTGCTAGTTGTTTAGATTACATGTGAATAAGATTCTGTTATTGCTTCCGCTGTGGTATATATTCCATCAGGGAGAAGAATGGAGTAAGAGATATTTATAAGTGACTGAAATCTGAAAAAGTTCAGAATTAACATATAGGTGTCAGACTCCTGTTGTGAAAAAACTTGTTGTTACCTTCCTCCCAATTTATCCCCAGCAGATATCATGGGCTTATATTATTTGCAGGCTATTGTTTAGAAAAAGGAAAAGTAGAGTTACACTAATTCACACCGTGAATTTTTATATATTAGTTTGCAGGCTTACACCGATTCATAAATATTTTCTTTAATTGTTATAATTGTTCAAACTGTACTGAATATAATGTTGTCCTCTTCTCTTTAATTGTTACAACAGTTACAAAATTTAAAAGGATGAGTTGGTTATGAATCCGAAGGAACTCAATGTTAGAAGAGAGTTTTTCTGGACATATTAAATTAATTTAATTTAAATAAGATAAATAGAGAGATGAGGCAAAAAATGTCAAAAAAGGAGAAAAAAGATAAATGTGTTTCTTGATCAAAGAGGCATGCCACATCATCTTCTTAAATCCTAGCTTTATATATATATATATATATATATATATATATA